GCCGACTTCCCTCGTCCAGCGAGCGCGCGGCTTGCGTAAATGCACGTGGGGAAACTCCGAGAGAGAGAGAGAGAGAGAGAGAGAGAGAGAGAGAGAGAGAGAGAGAGAGGGAGAGAGAAAGAGAGAGAAAGAGAGAAAGCCGGAGCCAGGTCGAGCGGTAAGACTGCGGATCGTCTTTCCACCCACGATTGATCTGTTTGTCAATCGGGCGGTGCCTTCGCTCACTGTTCTTCCTCTCTCTCTCTCCCTCTCTCCCTCCCTCCTCCCCTCTCTCTCTCTCTCTCTCTTCCTCTGCCTCGCTCTCGCTCTCGTTCTCGCGCTCTCCGTCCCTTCCTCGAGCCACCCTTGTGGAGCACACCCTTTCCTCTTACTCTCTGCGTCGTGTCCCTCCGTTCGTGCCTCTCGCACGTTTCCCGATAGGACGAGAGCCACCGAGCGTGCGCCAATGCCAAAAAAGACCTCTCTCTCATCCGGATGGCGGAGTGACAGTCACGTCTCTCAGTCGTACGTCCCGCGCATATGGATCGCCGCGGCTTTCTCCCGGGGATAATCGAGAATCGTTGTCGTCTCGTTACAGCGCGCCCGTGAAGGGAAGCTTTCACGGGGTCGCTTTTACCGTCGCCGACGTCAACGACGACGACGTCGTCGTCGTCGTCGTCGTCGTCACCGTCGTTGTCGTTGCCGCCGTTCGCGGTCTTTCCCTCGCGCTCCGTCTTGCTTCCGCCGCGCCTTCCTATCGTCACTTTCGACGCGCGCTCCTCTTCGCTTCCCCGGCTGCGATGCCTCAAAAGAAATTGTTGATTGCGCGATTACGCGTCTCCTTGGAATTCATGAGACGTGTTTGCCGTACGATTCCTCAGAGGCGCGCTTAAAGACGCGCTTTGAAATGGAGGTTTCTGCTCTTCCCCTCTCTTTCTTTCCTTTGTCCTTTAATATCATCGGTTAGAATCGGACTCACGCATGGCTGCGTTCGGAAACGTCACTCGGATACTCTCTCTCTCTCTCTCTCTCTCTCTTCCTTTATCTCATTTTTATGTCTCTCTCATACCAACGCAGCAGATGTACCCGAGTGACATTTTCGCAGCCCATGGGAGCTTGTTCCGCGCAAGGGGGGAGGGGGGCGGCCGAGCGTAAAAACGCGCGTTGATGATAAATGCAAAGAAGGTGGAGGAACCCCGTGAGAGTAGCAGCTCACTTTGTAGCCGCCGTTTCGTGAATTTGAGCCCGCTCAAAATTAGAAAACTGTACACGCGCCCTTAACTCACGTACGTGCGTAACGTTACGCGGACGTGACGTTGTAAAGTTTAGCCGAGAAATCTCGGGAGTAAGTAAGCGCTTCCCCCTGAAAAGCAGCAAGAAACGAAATGCTCTGGAAACGTGTCCCGCTGCGTTTTTATTACAGATTCGGCGGCGCACCGGTTGCTCGCGCGAGCGAGCAATGCTCCTCCGGCGGGTGCGATGCGCGGCGGGTCGAAGAACCCTCGTGTGTCATTACGCAATATTAGCCGGCGCCAAAAGTCCAAGACACACATACACACTCGAAACTTTTCTCATAACGGCGTTGAGAGCAATTTTTTTAAAAGGGCTTTCCAATTTTCTCACTAGCCTCGGAGCACTTTGCGCCTGCGCACGTGTGATGCGCAGCCGCGAGGTCCGCGTTAAGAGATCGTTTCGCGAACAAATAATAGCGGCCGATGATCGATCGCGGATAATAAACGGACTAACCGAGCCGGATTTACCGAGCGTGCGCGCGAAGCATCCCGTCGGGCAGGGCTCCCCTCCCGGAGCGCGGAGAGGAGAATGTAAACACGATAAATCTCGGCGAGCCGAGATCGGAGTCGAAAACCGCTTAAATTGCGCTCGCCTGGCGTGGCACTCTCAGCGCGGTGTATGGAAGTCGTCGTGGAGAATACCGGAACGCTCTCGGCTTCATTTCAACGTAATCCCGGCTAAAGTCCGCGGCCATTCCAAGAGACAAGCCCAGTAGCCGGACAAGTCTCGCGTCGGAGAAGCATCGACCGTATTGGAGATTAGAAACGCGTCGTGTGTTTAAAGATAGAGATCGCACCGCCGAGGGATCGAGCCCGAGCTCTCTCTCTCTCCCTCTCTCTCTCTCTCTCGCGCGCGCGCGCTAACGACTCCGATCACGGCGGCTAAAACGCGCTCGATGCCGCCGAACGACGGCGGCGAATCGTTCCTCGACTTCGTTCTAAGCCCCCGCGCTGCTCGGTACTTGAGCTCGCATAATTTTCGTCCTAACTAGCGGCCGAAATTGCCCCTTTCCGTCGGGCGCGTCGCGCTCTGGCCGTTTCTGTTCGTTCGTTTCTGCTCGTTCGCGCTTGCCGCGGCCTGCCTCCGACCGCTCGATTCGCAGAATTATCGTTGGCAACGAGGTGGCTTGTACTCGCACAAGCCGCGCCCTGCTCGCATTTTAACCGGGATTTCACTGCGAGGATCACCTCTGCTTGAAGCGTGTTCGAGAGCCTGTGAGGCTCTATGAGCGTTGATGTTACGTCCCATGGGCTGCGCGCGCGTCTCTCTATTTCCCAACGCCGTCGTCTGCGTCTAGCGACTCTTTGAATTTCCGCTCGGATGTCATAGACGATACTGAAAATTGCCAAGACCCGGCGCACATTCGCCACGGCGTCCGCCTTAATCGAGTAAGACGGCCCACCGCGACAACGTCGTAATTTGATGTTGCGCGGAAAATTTGTCACGGCAATTTTGCGAATGCACCGCGCGATGTCGTGCACGGGACAGCGTGCGCTTTGACGAGTTAATTGGCTAATTTCGCGACACGTTCCTGCCCCGTGGAGCGCTGCTCGATTTTTCAGAAACACCAGGTCGCCGGGACTTTTGGCTGTCGTCCTTGTCATCTTCGGTAAATATATAGAAAAGGGTACAATACCTCGGCGATTTTCTTCATTTTGAAATATGTTATAAAGGATGAAATTCTGAGTGACTTCTCCTAATGCAATTATATGGGGGTCGCTTACAGTTTCTGAGATATTTTACTTTAAAGTTTTACAACTGTACGTTGAAGTATATTTGAAGTGGAGGTAAATATATAGAAAAGAGTACACCTCACCGGTTTTTTTCATTTTGAAATATGTTACAAAGGATGAAATCCTGAGTGACTTCCTGATACAACCATACGGCGGTCGCTTATAGTTTCCGAGATATTTAATTTTAAAGTTTTGGAATTTTGATTATCCTGGAATTAAATTCCAGATATCATAAGCTGACGTTATTTACAATACAATCCAAACAGTTAATCCAAACATGGTGTATACGTAGAAATATAGGAAACAGTACATATAAGCGGGAGAAGGGCTCCGCCCCTCCCCCGCACCCCCTTTCCAAAAAAATCCTAACCTAACCTAACTTATCGCATCTTTATATATTGTTGGGCGACGTTGGAAAGATCTCCTTAAAAGCCACAACGCCTAATTATATGCAGATATTATAATAAGTTAAGTTGAGTCAGGTGATAGATCTTAACAGAACTTTTTTCAACAATGTCCGAAAATATATAAAGATGCAATAAGTTAGGTTAGGTTAGGATTTGTTTGTTTCCTATATTTAAAATGAATGAAAACTGCCTGTCTACTTCAAATATACTTCAACGTACAGTTATAAAACTTCAAAGTCAAATATCTCAGAAACTATAAGCGACCCCCATTTAATTGTATCAGGAAAAGTCACTCAGAATTTCATCCTTTATAACATATTTCAAAATGAAAAAAATCGGTGAGGTGTACCCTCTTCCATATATTTACCTCGCCTTCTCAGCGCTCTCCTTCTCAGCGCCGTCGCCGCGCTGGCGAGGCGCTGCGAGCGCTAAGCCGCGCAATCGAACTCGCTTATCAGGAAAGTTAAGTCTCGCGACTCCGTCATATGAGGCCGTGTGGAAAAACGCTATCTCAGTGCGCTACGCTGGTCGGGCATGCAACGTTTCGCGCGATAAGCTACACCACGGGGGTGTAATTTACAGGGAGATGAAGTTGCCGTCGCGGGAGCCGATAGCGAACTAGGTTGTTGGCGTGTAGTTTAAGCAACGGTCTATGATACGAGCCGTCCGAAACAAGATGCGCGGAAGAGCGACCACGCGCGACCAAGTTTACGTAGCACCATAATCTCACGTTGTCCAGCGGATCACCGCTCTCGTGATTGGTCCGTGACTTTGAGCACGGTGGGTCGGATCCGCCGCGACGACCCCGGGGGCTTTATCTGTCGGCCGCGGAAGGCGATCCCTAACACGTTTGCCATCGCCGGCTTGTTCGTTCGATTCGTCTGGCTGTTATCGTGGGAGCGCGCAGTCTCGTGCGCCTCTCGTATAGATCGCGAAATCGTAAAAATTCGTGCGGTTTTCATCCGCGAAATAGCAAATAAAATTGGCACCTGGCCCATAAAAGCCAATAACAGTGGTTAGCTCTCGATAGACCAGGTATCAAATTTATTTCCTCCCGATCCGTTTTATTACATTTGACGTCGATTTAAATGAAAGAGGCAAAAATACACAATGTAATGACGCGGGCGAGTTTGTCGGATTTCTCTTGACGACACGCAAGTGGATGAACCGACGCCTGAGAGAGAGAGAGAGAGAGAGAGAGAGAGAGAGAGAGAGAGAGTCTCCGGAGAATATTCAAGAGACGCGAAACGAGCGCGAATCTCTCGTTCGCTGGCGAAGCGTCGGACAACCCTTCCCGTCTTCGCAACCGGATCTTCTCTCTCGGGATAATCGCGGCGACTCGATCGCGTTCGCGAAGATTGATCTGTCGAGCGTCCTCGGGAAATGGAAAAACAAGAAAAGACAAGAAGAAGAAGAAGAAGAAAGAAAGAGACACACGGCGGAGCGCAAACCGAGTCCGTCCGTCTCAATCGCACGTGCCGCGTCACGCGGGGAAGGCCGCGGCTAAAAATACGCGCACGCCCGAGAGCTGAGCGTTAAAACGCAACATAATTTCATTATTTATCACAAAGCGAACTAAACACCTTACCCGTGTTGTTAACCGGATGTCCGCCTCTCACCGGCCAGCCGACGGACGTGCTCGCTTTGGACGAGAAGCTGAAGTAGGCCAGGAACTGGGACCGCGTTGTGTTCTCGTTTATTCTGAAACAAGCGCATTTCAGCATTGTACGCGGACGGACGGCGCCGAGAGTTGGGGGCGGAGGGAGGGAGAAGGGAGACGGGGGTGGAAAGGATGGCGTGCACTTCGTATGCGTGCGTAGCAGCGGCCAGGTTTTATGCGTTGCGACAATAAAAGAAAGCATTAGCGTGATAAATTACTATGGGGTTCCCACCGCCTCCACCGTCGCCGCCGCCGCCGCCGCCGCCGCCGCCGCCGCCGCCGCCAAGCACCACCTCCGTCTCGCCCTCGTCCGCGGCGTGTGCGACCTGCGCTGGTCAGGGTATTTACCCTGGGGCGGGGGGGGGGGGGATCTTGGCGCGGCGGCAGGCAAATTTACGGATTCTTTTGAAGTGATATACAACGAATAACCGCGGGGCCGATGTAGTTGGCGCGATTTATTGCGGCCTGTTTTTGTCGTCGTTCCGCATGCGACTCGTAAATCACCGGCCGATGCGCTTTTATTGACGGGCCGCTCTTGTCGGACGCGTTTCAGCCCGACAGCCTCGTCAATAAAACGGCCCTTTGAGCGGCCTCCAAGAAATTCGACGGATATGAAACCGGCGAGATTCGCGTCACGATGAACAGCGTCGATGCCGTGGTCGGCTGTTATAAATTAACTCTCGTTTATTTGCGTTATCGGCGACGCGGAGCGGGTGTGACGGATTTCTTCGGAACTTCGAATACATCGCTGCCTCGCCAAAGTCGCCTTATCGATCGATGTTTGTCAAATAAAAGGGGCGAGGGGGGAGATGAGGGTAATATCGACGAAACGCTCGCGGTGTGCATTTCCGTGCGTTAATTTCGATTCAGTCGGCTCGGCTCAATTGTCGTGAAATTAGTCAGCGTTGCTTAATGCGACGCGCCATCGGACTGAATTTCGAGCTGAATTGCATCCGAGATGGATGTCAATATGTCGTCGCACGCAGGGCGTGCGAGTTGCCGCCTCGGCAAGTTGGACGTTTCCGAAAGTTTCGTCGTCGCGAACGACTGTAAGTCTGAAAACTTTGCCCCCTCTCTCATCCTCCTCCTCCTCCTCCTCCTCCTCCTCCTCCTCCTCCTCCTCCTCCTCGCCCGTAGACGACGGAGGGCTTGTATTTCGCAGGACGCGCGCGCGGGAGAAGTCATCTTCTCGAGGAGCGCCGTCGCGATGTTTCCTCGAGATTGATCCTCGGCGAATCGTAGGGGATCGTTTGTCGCGTTTGAGAGCTGTTTAGAAAGCAGGCACGGGGCGTGTACTGTTTCGTCGAATCGCCAGGTATCGATATCCGAACTTTGTCGTCGCGCGATGAAACTTTGCGCTTTGTGAGGAGACGCCGTGCATGTGAATTCGCCTTACTCGATCGCAAGCTACGGCGCTCCTGCGAGTACGTATTAAAAGCCGAGAAAAGGAGAGAAGGCGGGGGGGGGGAGAGAGAGAGAGAGAGAGAGAGAGAGAGAGAGAGAGAGAGAGAGAGAGAGAGAAGGAAAGAGAGCGCGGGGAAGCGATATTCTCGACTCGACGAACAGTCGAGGATGCTTCGAACAAGTTAACCCCGACGCGAGATTAAATTAGCGAAAATTACACACGGCCAGAGTCGTCGAGCATAAAGAACGGTTCTCGAGCAGTTGTTGACATTCTCCCCTCGGTCTTTGCGACATCCCCGTGAAAATACTTTCGCCGATACTTTCGGGGATCACGGACGTCACGTTCGGGAAGTCACGTGGTGCCTCGTCGGTACTTTTGTCTCTCTTGCTCGACGATCGCCTTTCGTCGCTCGCGAGCGCTCGCTAATTTTCCACTGGAGAGTGGAACGCACTTGCGCGTATCACTTGGGCGCCATGTCATGTATCCTTGGGCGAACACGACGCTGGCAATATCCGGGGGCTCGCTCGCGTCCGTCGCTAAAACCGCAGTCAATTTCATGTCCCAGTGGCTATCCCGCGCGAAGCCGGAGATCGTGGCGAGCGTAAGTCAGAAGTGACCGAGAGGAAAACGAGAAATGGACCAGAGAGCGGATAAGACGCCGTCGCGGCGTAGAGGAGGCGGCTCTAATTCGATTATTTAGTTAGGTCAGGTTAGCCGTAGTTGGGTTAGCGTCAGCCGGAGCTAGAGGTTACTCAAGACACTCGTAACTCCTAATTGTATTTACTTACAATAAATCTTCCACCTTCGTCCCTTGTCCCTGCCGCTTCGTCAATGCTTCGTATTTGATTAGCTGCCAATCCGCCGCGGCCAACCCCCTTCGCGCGAAACTTGCGGCCCTTCGACGCGACGGCCGGTCGTGCCGCCGCGGCTTGCGCTGATTTTCTGATTAATTGCCCCTCGAACTTACGCCTCGAGTTTCCCTCACTTTTCGCCGAAGAGCCGATTGGCCCACTCGTCCACCACCCTCGCCGCAGTGTTGCTCACGATTCATTCGCCCGGACCGGCCGCGATCATTCCCCCGTCGCGCTCCGAATATCTCGTTCAACAGCCTCCCCTGTGTTATCCTTGCGAGTCTCTATTAGCTTCCGTCGATTTGCCCGAAATCGACAGATGTCCCGCGACATGACCCGCGAGACACAAATTACAGCGGAGGTGCCGCCGGAGGTGAGAGAGGACTCATTAATCGTATCGACGTCGCTCAACGTCGCCTTGGTGTTTACATTCATCACGATAAATATTAATAGACCGGGCGGGATTAAAAGCCTGAGGCTGAAAATTGTAACTGACGACGCGATGCGCGATGCAAATTTCGGTTCATGCACTCCTCCCTGTGTGTCGCGCGTATTTTCGGGCGTATTTTTACGTGCTATACGAGGCGCGCGCGCTTTATGAGGGACTCCGTAAAACGTTACATCGATCGCGATGGGACGAGGGTTCGCTCTCAAAGAAAGCCGAGGTTAAGCAAATCCCCGAGAGACGATGAAAGAAGACGGCGGTAATCCCGGCCGGGGTTTTCGGAGATTAGGATGCAAATTTTGGAAAGCATTAGACGAAAGCAGCGCTCTGTAGCGAGAGAGAGAGAGAGAGAGAGAGAGAGGGAGAGGCGAAATCCTTTTCGGAGCATCTATCGAGACGTTAAACCGATTCAGTATGCCATTAAAGCAAGTTTATTCGCGCGGTCGGCGAGTCGATAGCCACGTTATGGCGAAGCCGCGCGTAAATTTCTACGCAGATGCCCGCGGAAAACCATGGAGATGGGACTTATAAAGTTCCATGAAGCGAAATCCGAGGCGAGCGCCTTCGAGGGTTTCACGAGCGCGGAATCACAATTTGCTCGCGACTCGAAGAAGAAAATTTCCGGGACGGGACGGGACAGGACGAGACGATACGAGCGCGGGCGACGGCGGGATTTTATCGCGCGCGCAGATTTTAATCGCGGCCGACACGGATTTTACTGCGCGCGCGCGCGCGCGTGCATTGCGAGTTGCGCTCTCTCCTCTTGCCTTTCTTTCTCCTCTCAAAGTCGTTGTCTGTGTTTCTTTTAGCAGGATTGTAAAGTCTCGTCTGCAAATCGACCTTCCGTGCTGCAAGCGACCTGCTGCACTGCAAGATTGCGCGATTTTCGCGCGATGAGAGATTATAGTTGGATTATAGTTGGATTATAGTTGGATAGTTGGATTATAGTTGGAGAAACGGCGGGGGGCTTTGTAAAACGAATAATATTGTTTTATCGATCAACAGTTAATTCCATCGTAGTGACAACTGATTAACAGGCCCGTGGCAATTTTCTTATTTATTATTTTTCGTCGCTTCGCTTTGAGTTTATTTTCGAGGGTCAGCGGGCTCGCCGGAAACTCGTTCGTTTTACTTTACAGCTTTATAGCAAACGTTTACTACTTCGAGATGTCTCGCTGGAAAATTTTTCTGGAAGAAAGAGAGAGAGAGAGAGAGAGAGAGAGAGAGAGAGAGAGAGAGAGAGAGAGAGAGAGAGAGAGATACTTTCCGAAGAGATGAGAATGTAAATTTCCGTGGCTGATTTTACAAGGAAACGCACGCGCACGTCGGCGCCGCTGGATGCGCATATTTGTCCGGGAACGTAAATTTTCATCAATCGGACAGGCAGTGAGACAAAGAGCGCGCCGTGTCATCGCGTTACTCCCGCGGGCGCGGAGGTGCCCGCGAAAAATCTGCGAAAACTCACCCGTTTGCCGGGCGGCGCTTAATGAAGGTTAGGTGCACTTTCGTCTGCGACACAAAAAGTTGACAAACGAGTCACCGGACCCTCAGCCCTGCGCAGAGAGAAAATAGGAGGCTTTTGTTTGCTAAGAAGGGCAGGCGCACGACTCGCGAAAGAAAATACTGCGCCATTGAAATGGACTTTGTTTTCCTGCGATATGATCCTATCGTCTTCAATGCGCGAGATGACACCAATGACGGAGCGAGAGAAATGGAGATAGAGTGAGAGAGTGAGAGTGAGAGAGAGAGAGAAAGAGAGAGAGAGAGGGGAAGGGGGGAGGAGAAAGGAAGAGGAGAGAAAGGCAGAAAATGGGATACCTGCTTTCAAACGATAATGAAACATACATCTTCGAGAACTTGTTTCTTTCTTTACGGATTTACGAGGCATCGTAAGCGCAACACACAGAAGTCCGTCTTTCCGCTCCTGCCCGGGAAATTACTTATATCGCTCCCGATTCATTTAACGACGCGAATCGTGAGGGCATCGCGTGTTCCTTGCCTCCCCTCCCGCCGGCCCTCGCTCATGTTACATTGCGAAAAGTCCGCGTTGGATAGAGACGGTATCTCGGTATCTTACGATCCGTCGGACGGTATTCGTTTTTATGCCATGAAACCGAAGTTTGCGCGCGCGTCGTCGTCGTCGTCGTCGTCGTTGTGAGAACTTTTGCGAGATACGACGATTATTCCGAAACCGATATTCAAAAGTTTTCATGTAAAATCGCCCGCGAAAAAGCTACCCGCTGGCTAATAGCGAAGTTCGGGACTTATAAGGTATTTTGCACGGTCATATACAGCCGCTTGTTTGAGGAAGTTCGCGTCGCGCCGTCGCAGACGTGTGTG